TGGGTAGCAACTGCCCCACGTAGCACAGAGGAGGCTTTGGCCTCGCAGGTGTACTGGCCTTGCCCTGGGCTCCTAGATGTTGCGACTCTATTCTGGGGGTCTCACTGCACCTTCCTCAGGGTTTTACAATGAGGGTCAATGCTGTGAATTGTGATTATGGGATGGGTTGGGGCCACGTGGCCAGCAGGTCTGCCTGGTCAGATCAGTCTGAAAAGAGCTTCTCTTTCATCTGGGAGTTCTTTGAAGGATGCTCGACTAGCAAGTGGTAAAGGGGACTATCCAAAAGAGTAGCTCCTCAGTTTACTTCCAGAGATCAATCACTGGGTATTTGGGGCTCTGTCTGTCAAACTGGCCTGGGTGTGGGAAGGTAACCTCCTCCAATCTCCTTGGCTGAAAAAGACAAAGCATGATTTTATGTTCCTGCTAAGTGCTGAACCTGGAGAGTTTGAAAATCTGTTCACCTCCATGGTAGAAAAGAAAAACACGGGATGGAAACACCCGAAATATGGTGGTGGGACAGTGTATGGTGGTGGGATTGATGTTTGAATATTAAATATCATCAAATACTGTGAATTACTTCATAAAATTAAAAAATTTTTAAAAAAGAAAAGAAAAACAGTTCCTTAGGGTCTTGCACCAGTTAATTGCTTCTACCTGGACTGAACCTGGAAGTGACATTGTTCCTTCACTAACATATCGATGAGAATTTGTGAGCACTGCAACATTGCGATCCTGTCTGGTACCTGGAAGGCAGGAAACTGTGGACAGTCCTCAATGACAGCTCTGTCCCTAGATAAGGATTCTCCTGAGCCCAATTATCTGCTTATGTTTGAGATGTTGTTCAGATTCACCTATAACTAACAGCCTAGTGAGAGTGACCCAGAGTGGTACCAAATGATACGCTTAAACTCTGAGTAAGAGAATTGAAAAGAATGTTCAAGTCCATCCCATAGATCAATTGAGATAGTGGGTGTAAAAGTCATTTCTAAGTTGTGAACTGCTCAAATATGCTCTAATGTGTAAAGAGCTATTTAGAAGCTATTTACGATCTGCCTAAAGGAAGTCATCTCAGAGACTGTGGTGTTTTAAGATCTGATTGGTTTTAGGCATCTATTAGTCCCATCTTCCTCTCCCCTGTGGATTTTTGTTTTAGAAATCATCCCCTCATAATAAGAGGGTGCAGAGGTACAGAAAACATTTTTAAAACCCTGAATCAGCTCTATAGTCAAAATAGAAATGGAAAAGCTCATTTTTTCCTCAGTGATGAATTCCCCAGGAATAGTGCCACTGAATTAGACAATTAGGACTTTAAAAATGAATTGCAGTTGAAAGACACACACAGTTTCTCCTGTAAACAAATCAAGTCCAGATGGGAATCACAACAAAACATTCTCTTTGGAGCACATATTTTTCAAAAATCTTCAGTATATGCTGATGTGTTCTGTTTTAGGAAGATGTGCTAATCCTTAAACTCTCAAAACAGAATAATTGGGAGGTGGCTTTTTCATTTAAAAGGAAATTTAAAAGCAGAACTTGCTCCCTTGGAGCATTTATGTCACATCAAGAACATGTTAGTGAGTTTTAAAAAGAGGAAGTTCCATAAACTAGATTTCTGTGCAATCCTATAATTTGTATATTTTCTTCATCTGCGTTTTATCTCTTGTGTGTCTGTGTGTGTGTGTGTGCGCACCACACCGCACACCCAGTGATGCTTGGGGTTACTCCTGGCTCTGCACTCAGGAATTACTCCTGGCAGTACTGGGGGACCATATGGGATGCCAGGGATCGAACCCAGGTTATTTGCATGCAAGGCAAATATCCTACCTCCTGTACGATCTCTCCAGCACCTTTATCTCTTTTTTTCCCCCCATAGCTTCCTCTGTATCTGCTTAAATATCTGCTGTATCTCTGTTCCATTACTATACAGTTAGTGGGTGGGCAATAATAGATGTGGCTACAATGTCTACCAGTTAATTTATCTTGAGTTTTATGATGAGATGGTTATCATAAGAACCTGAGACAATAATCATGTGAGTGCTGTGTTAAAATAAAAAATTGAATCTGATTCCTAAAGATGCATAATTAAAATAAGCTGTGCATCTCATATCAGATATCAAAATTTTATATGCAAATTATTTTCCTCAAGAATATATGAAAGTTATTGAAACCCTGTGGATTTCTCCTCCAACCAAACTGGATTAGTCACAGATTAGATATGATTCAATTCCACTAGTTTAGAAAATCCCAGAGGGGGCTCACTTCTCTTAGAGATTTGTTTGCCTCTCAATCTGAGATGTGTAACTTTCTCTCTCCTCTCTGAAAATAACACTATTTTATTTCACTAAATAATAGTCAAACATTTTATAATAAGAAAAAAAAAAGAACTATCTAGAGAGGCATCACCAAAGTGTACTTTGCAGTTCTTTGAATGGTAGATAAGATCAATTTTAGAAATTTATCATTGAATTGACCTCTCTCCGATTTGACAGTGTGACTGTCATAGGAATGCAATTCCAATAACTTTCTTTTTTACTCTTTAAAAGAAAATTTTAGTCTGAGCATAACATCTCAGAAGGCATAAGGGTTTGAAACTGACCCGAGTCATTGTGGAGGGAGCCTCCCCCTGATGGTGCTTGGGGGACTTGGTGGGACCAAGGACCTAACCCTGGCCTTCTACATGCAAAACATGTGTTCCAGCCCTTTGAGCCATCCCCAGTTCAATATATTTTGAACACTTCCAGTGAAAGACTTTCTTCCCTTCTCTTTGGAGGAGTCCAGTGGGGCTGGTGGTTCAATGCAAGGGCTTGAGGATATGGGGTTGCTCGGACTCTACAGGGCAGGGGGCCCCAGAGCTGGATGTGGTGATGCTTGGGGGACACTCAGGTCAGGCGCACACTAGGCATATGTCTAACCACTGCGCCATCTCCTGGCCCCTGGAGAAAGTCTTTCTTCACTCAGATGTCTGCCCGGATATCAAGGTCTTTATGGTTTATATTTGGGATGAACACATTCTTTTTTAAAAGAGAAAGCATGAATCTGACTAATATGAGATAGATTTAATCCTGGGGAAAGGGAGAATTTGTTTAAAAAAAGAAAGAAGAGACAGGAAGGTTGTTAAAACTTTAGCCTGACCACATCACAAGTGGAAATCAGATGTGATAAGCAGAAGATCCTGTGAGTATGTGGAAGAAATGTAATGTAGAAATTGAACAAATCTTTGATGTTCTTTGAATCGGGAGAAAAAGATCAAACTGTATAGATTTCTGAAAGGGGGCAGCTAAGTGGATGAAGATATTGGAATTACGTAGAGGAAAGGAAGGAATTTGGAATTTGGAATTTGGAATTTGGAAGGAATCTGGAGTCCAGTTGGTTCTGCCACTAATATTTTTTTGACAAGCTCTTTTCCTGGTATCTAAAGGAAAAAGCTGTGTTCCTGAGATCCTCTGCACTGGTAAAATGAGTTCAACGCCCCTCCACCCCCCAAAGAAGCCTCATTTTCTTGGCTGGTTTGGGCTGTGTCTGAAAAGACTGCAGCTCCCTAGAAAGTGCTCAGAATGTATATGCGGCAACTGGGCAGTCCCTGCTGTCCCTTGTTCATCAAAGAGGCTCTCCTGGTGCAGCATGCATTCTTGTCTCACAATGGGCAGATCCTGGGTTTGGATCCTGGCATCAAGTGGGCACGCATGCACGCGCACGCACACACACACATGCACACACACACACACACACACATACACAGAGGCTCTGGTAGCTGTTTTTCCAAATATGTTTGCTAAGCAGGCTCCACACACACGGGTTTGCACCATCTCCCCGCGCTTTACTTCTTAGGACAAAAATATGGGCCTGGAGAAGCCTGGCAGGGCAGGGAGAGGAGCACTTGAAGGGAGTCCTGGTCCGCCTCAAGCGACTGTGAGACTTGGTGTTTTTTTTTGGTTTGTTCTGTTTTGAGGCCATACCCGACAATGCTTAGGGGTTGGTCTTGGCTCTCCACTCATGAATTACACCTGGCAGTGCATGAGGGACTTTTAAGGTGCCGGGGATTGAACGCTGGTCGGCCATGTGCAAGGCAAGTCCTGCCGACTATACTAGGGCTCTGGCCCAAGGGCTGAGAATTGGGGGAAGCCGTTCTCCCTCCCAAGTTTCTGCTCTCTCATAGGCAAGGCGCGGGGGCTGCATTCAACCCTCAGTCCTTCCTGGAGGCCCCTCTCTGACACTGTTCCTGTTAGATGGAGCGAGTGAGTCCTAAGGCTGGATGGATGCAGGGAAGGGCCTGGAGCTGCTTGAGGGAAGAAGGCAAAGTGGTTAGCGCACAGGAAATGGCTCATTAGAAGCATCAAAACGCCAAGCTCTGCGTTTCATGTGTGGGGCCGTACATGCTTTCTGAGCATCTGCTGCAGCGGCCGGTCCTTGCCTGGGATTGGTTTATCAAGTCCTCCATCATGTCTGCGCCACCCTTGAAGTCCCAGAGTGGGGACACTGGGGCCCAGTCTGTTGGTTTCCAGGCTAATGAAATGTCCTTCATAGTCAAGTTTAATTGGAGGAATTCTGAGGGTTCTTCTACATGTTGAATCATACTTTCTGGGCCCAATGTGTTCATATTGAGAGACCCTTTATAAAAAAAAAATTAACCAAACAAAAAATCATCTAATTGTAGGTTGCCACTGACTTCTATTTTTTGACACCTTAGTGTGACTATCACTCCTTCAGACCAGGTCCTTCTGGTGCCATTGATACAAGGCACCAGTTCTTCCTAGCCCTCCTAAGGAAGGAAACGTACATGAAAGAAGAAAGAGACACACAGGCAAGGTAGGGTGACCAGCAAGATTGTAATTTAGCGGGGAAGGGAAGTCTTCTGACGCAGAGAGCTGATGGATGGAAAGAACTCGGATCCAGGGAAGGAAGGAGGAACCAGTACCGGGTTGGCTGTGTAACTCTGGGGACACCCCCATGGCCCCTCAGGTGGTCTTCTGGGGTATCATGACTCATGTTTCCCATCAATATTATAATACTGCATCTTGCAAGGTGCTGGGTTTAGCCCGGGGGATGACGTACTCTTGTGTGGAATCAACATTCTGGAAAGGAAGGAAGACCATTAGCAATGTGCCGATCTGACACAGGGCGTGGTCCTCTACGGAGCTAAGCTGGAAAGAGCATTTGATCATTTCTGAGTCAAAAAATTATTAAGCGTACCATCTTCCCTCTGAGCCATGAACAAACTTCCTGCCAGATTTCTCAATGACTGATCGCTGGCCAAGGAAAGAAATCTAAGACCTTCTTGGATTGGCAATTTCTCATGGTGCCAGTGCTCACCCTAAGGGTTGAGCCCCGCAGGTGATGTTCTGGATTATTCCAGGAAAAGGAGTAGTGTCAGCACACAACACAGAGGAAGGAGGCCTGGACCCCTGAGCCTGATGTGTTCACCCAGTGCCTGTCTGGTCCCCATCATGCATACATCTGTGTCCTTGTGTGTTTCCAAGCCATCCGGGCTGTCTGCCAGCCGCCCTGGTTCTAGTTGAGCCCTTTGATCTTTGTCTAAATGGGATAAACTCTGCGGTACCCATGGGGCATGCAGAGGGTGATGGATGGAGCCAGCTCCAGGGCAGCTGAACTCACAAGCAAGGCATAGACTTAGAGGGGCTGCCAGAACTCAGAAGGTGATGGGGACCACAGCTACTGACCCCACACCTGCCTAACTAATGAGCTCCTGGACAGCCCTTGGCTTCAGGGAGTGTCTCCTGCAGGGGGCTCTGGTCCATGGTAGGGGAGATCGGGAAGGGGAGGTTCGCCTTAGTGCCCTGGTTTCATTGGATGGCACATAGTCCTCCTGCCTGAAGGCTGTCTGTCTGCCCCGCCTGGCCAGAGCAAAGGCATCACAGGTGAAGCCTGGTGGCCCCCCGGGAGAGGAGGGCTGGGCATCCCTCCTGGGTGAAGGTAGACGAGCATTTACCTGCAGGTGAAGGGGAGTACCATATGCAGTTAATGCTACGTCCTCCTCAGCGCCATCACTGTCTCGGGCTGCAAGCCAAAAGGGGGGGCTGGGTTAGTGTCAGGTTCTCCCGGACTGAGACAGGGGCTGAGGACTAGGAGTGGGGTACTTGCCCCTTGAAGAAGGGAGTAGCTACTTCTCCATTTCTATTTGATTCTGAAGTGAGGGTTTCGGCACTTTCAAGGATGTCTCTGAGGAAGGCTGTGTATGAACAGGGAACCGTCCCTGCAAGTGAAAAAGCAGCCGCCCCTCCCCTGTTAGGGGGATTGCCAAGTGGTGCTCAGGGAGTTGAAAGGTCACTCCCGGTGACTTGAGGTCAGTGAGGATATGTGGGTCCATGCCGAGCGGGATTAGGGACCAGCAGGACCCTCCAAAGCATTGTTGATGACCCTAAGCCCGAGATCATCTCTTTTTATGTTTCATGTCTGGGGCCACACCCAGCAGTGCTCAGGGCTTACTTCCGGCTCTGCACCCAGGGATCACTCCTGGCTGAGCTCAGATCTTCCCCATGAAGGCCAAGGCATTAAATAGATCCTCTCTCAAGTCCCTTGAGACACGCAATTCTACTTCAGGCAATTCTACAGGCAATTCTACTTCAAACTGGCCCTAATAACACAGGCCACTGTTCACGTCCCAGAACAACCACAACACATGGTCTTGGGTTTAACATCAAACTGGCCCTAGTAGCAAGGGCCACTGTTCACAGTCCCAGAACAGCCACACACGTGGTCCTGGGTTTAACGTCTGGCTCTCCAGGAGGTTTTAACTCTGGGAGCCAGGCCTGCGTCTGACTCCAATGCTGGACTCTTATTTTATGTGCCAACATGGCGGGTCCTTTGCATACCCACGCAATGCCTGCTATAAGGGTGTGTGGCACCGTGGTAGAGAGGTTGGCTTGACTCTCACTGTTGGCTCGTGCCCAGGGCCAACTCTGGCCTTTGCTCCTTGATCAGAGTGAATTTGCAGTTGCAGCCCTAAACCTGCTCCCTAAAGGGGTTTGATATGAAACCAAGGACTGTGGACACGCTCACACTTGCGTGTACTCTTCTTGGGCAAGGGCCTCGATTAGCTTATCGGTAGTGGGGTTGTTGCTAGAGGTGTGATTACAACGGACATCCCAGCATCTTCCTCCTCCTGGCACTTCTTTTGTTTTTCCGGGAGGTCCGTGTTCTGGCTCGATGCTCAAAGATCACTCCTGGCAGTGCTCAGAGGACCAACTGCAGTGCCAGAGATCAAACCAGGTCTGGCAAGGCAAGCACCTCAGCTCTGTACTAACTGTCCAGCCCCTGGTGCTGGATTTTATGTTTTTTTTTTGGGGGGGTCACACCCAGTGATGCTCAGAGTTTACTCCTGGCTTTACCCTCAAGAATTACTCCTGGCAGTGCTCAGGGATGCTGGGGATCAAAACCGGGTCAACCGCATGCAAGGCAAATGCCCTACCCACTGTATTATAGCTCAAGCCCCTGAACAGTGGTTCTTGCAGGTCTAAATGCCACCTTGGCAATGCTTGGCTGGGCAGGCCTGATGACTGTGCTTGGGAGCTAGCAAGGCCACACCCAATGGTGCAGCAGGGGCCATCCAGAGCTGGGGGCCTAACTCGGGGGATGCAGGTGCACCCACCCCTCCCAAACTCCCCCCCTCCCCCAACATGGACAGTTCTTCAAACTGCTCTGTCCTGTGAAGAAAGAAATGCCCTTCTTTCCTGCAGGGCGGAATGAACTGGATCCTGGGTTAAACTCTGTGACTGAGGCAGAAAAAAAATTCCTCCCCACCCCAGGGTTCAGTTAATCTCCTCATGGGTCAGAGCATCAAGAGAGAGGTCTGGTTCTCATCCTTCAGCTCCGGTTCTGGCTAGCAGAGTCCCCTGAGTCCTCAGGTCTCTGTCTCTCCTCCCGCCACCTCCCCCAAGGTGATAGAGTGAAGTGGATGGGGTCTCCCTGTCCACATAGTGGAGGCACGATGGCCACCATCCCCAGGCATGGGGCATCCCCTCCCGGGCCTGTAGGCACTGGGTTTGGCTGCGAGGATGGTAGAAGCCCATTTCAGAACCCGGACTCAGGAGGTCACCCTCTCCTTCACCCACACTGCCTGGGAGGCTCCCAGAATCTCTGCGATTCATGGTCATGGTGGCCTTAGGTGTCCTCAGACCGAGCGAATCCTAGCCGGTCTAGTCACCCCCTTCCCCGCTCTATGCCAGTGTCTCTCCGTGACCCAGCACTGGATACTTTGGAAGGGGAAAGTCCAGCGGGTGGAAGTCAGACTCTCCTGCATGCAAAACGTGTGCTCCAGCTCATGGCCAGACCATGGCCCAGAGCTCCCCAGCATAACCCAAGAGCAGTTTTGCTGTTTGTTCCCGTGAGAGAACCAGCTGAGCCATTGAAACTGAGTTTCTTCTGGTGAGGGTGGGGGTGGGGGGTGGGGGTTGGAATGTCTTGGAGAGAAAATATTGAGAACAGTCCCCCAAAGGCTCTGGGAACAGTTGTAAGGAAAATAAGCGAAATGTGCAGACACATTTTCCTCTTGCTTCCCCTCAGCTGAGAGTCCTGGACACATTTTCCCCTTCCCGAGGTCCCACTGCTTTCCTGGGAATAGAAACCTATCGTAGTAGTTTGCTATCCCAGCACTGGAGAGAAAAATGTCCCCAATAATGGGAGCCTTTCTTGAATTCTAGCTCAAATGGCTCAGGTTTTTGACAAACTGGATTTAATGATAGTCTCGACACAGATAAAGAAGATAATAACTAGGCTAGGAGTGTTTCTTTCATCAAGAAAGGTTCTGGCTGGTAGATAGTCTACTATATTTATGGCCTCTGTCAATTATAGCATATTACAAATTCTCAGGTAAAAAGAGCAGTGGGTCTTTGGACATTGTAGTCATGTATTGAGTTTTCGGAATGCATTCATGACCCAGGGCAAAGAGAATTTGTGCCCAGTGGTTTGGGATCAGGGAGTCACTGGTCTGGTTGCATTTCTCCCCTCCATCCAGATGTTTTCATGTCTGGGAATTAAATCCATAAACCACTTCAGAGAGATAAAGCCTAATCTTGTTTTGAATGACTTCCAAGGAAATGGAGCCCTTAATCCTCTTTGCGGGTCATTTTTCTGTCTGTCAACTCTTATTTTCATACTTAATATAAATCCTTCTTGCTACTGGTTGAGTCCATTTTTACCCCTGGTCTTTCGCTGGAGACAGTACACAACAGGACCATCACTTCTTGGGGCGAGGTCTTCACACAGGTGACATTCACTGCTAATCCCTTCTGGTCTTTTCTTTCCACTGAATAATTTTGGTCCCACAACCCAGCAAATCAAATCAACAAATAATGTGAGCAGAGTCACAGTCCTCCGCGGGGAGAATCAGAAGACTCGTGTGACAAAAAATGTCTGCCATCATGGAATCTAGCCAACTGTGGGGTTTACAGAAAAAATTTGGGCAGTGAGGGGCCGGAGAGATAGCACAGTAGGGAGGGGGTTTGCCTTGCATGCAGCTGACCCTGGTCCCATCCTCAGCATCCCACATGGTCCCCTGAGCAGCACTAGGAGTAATTCCTGAGTGCAGAGCTGGGAGTAACTCCTGAGCGTTGTGGACTGTGCCCCCCCCCCCAAAAAAAAAGAACAAAAAAAGAAGAAGAAGAAAGAAAACTTGGAGAATGAGAACAGTGTTTTCCAAAGTGGGTGATACCTCCCCCTCCCTGGGAGTGTTAGAATAATCCAGGGAAAGGAAGAAGGCTCTGGTGTAATTAGTTTGCTTAAAGAAGGCAGATCTCTAAAGGGCTCCTGTCCACGGGGGTCTGGTGCTCTGGCCATTCCATCCTGGTGGCTTTCCATTGTGAGCCCCGACTTTTCATTAGCAAATCTCAGCACTGGATTGGAATCCCAACACTGGACTCCCTGGGACCTAGCCAGCAGTGTCGTGACCAACCACATCTATCTGACAACACACAGACACACACACAGACACACACACACACATACACACCACACTTGTCTGCCTTTAGGCCCTGCAGGGACATTTAGGGACAGATAAGTTGCTGCCTGGAGATGGTGCCTGAGTGGCTCTTACTGTGTTTCTAGTTGATAGTTGTTCCTGGCTAGGTGCAATCCTACGCTTCCTGTTGAGTTTTAATAGAGCTTCTAATTTTCGAGAGGTGTATTCTTTCCAGGTCTCCTAAATTCTGATACCTAAGAATTATCCTCTAAGCTTAGATTCTAATTATTCTCTCCTGTCTTGAAATGCTATCCTTTTTTTGGGGGGGGGAGGGGTGGGTATAGGGGTTGGTTCATATACGGCTCAGGACTTCCTCTTGGCTCTGAGTTTAAGGGTCACTCCTGGTGCGATGGAGGGACAATACGTGATACGAGGATCAAACGGGGATCAGCTGCATGCAAGGCAAGTGTCTTAACCCCTGTATAATCTCTCCAGATCCTGGGGTGCTATTAAGTCTTTAAGCTTAAGTTTCTGACTATTTTGCCCAGTTTTGGAGAGCAATCTACAGGATCCTTGCTATACCATTGATTTCCCCTGCTTAAATATCAAGCTACAGACAGTAGTACTGGCAGACTATTTCCCCCATAACAGTGCATTTTCAAATCCTTCTGGGATAATAAGGGAATTCTATGTTTTTGCAAGTTCTGGCTCTTCAACTCAAAATACTCCCTAGAATACTTTCAATACTTGCTTACATGGGTGTTATGGGACATTGATCATTGCTAGTCCCCAGTATTTCAAACTATACCCCTTTCACCTTACCTTTGCTTCCTGGAAACATAAAACAACATTAAAAAAAAACCTAAAAATTTTAGTCTCTTTTTTGATGAGAATGATGACAAGTACTTTTTGAGAAAGATGGACTCTAATTCTACCACCAACCTCAGTGATCTGATTATATATCATCAACAAGCAGTGAAGAATGTATAGGAAGGATGTATATCATCAACTTCCTCTTCCTCGTCCAACTGAACTGAAAAGAACTAATGGCATATGGTGCTGAACAGGAATCTGAATGTGTAATTAGTCATAGATTAGAGCTCCAAAAAAGTCGATGTCACTTAAAAGGAAGCTTCTATTAATTTTTTTTTTGAGCTTGGTGAACATTATGTGGGCTATATAGTGTAAAAAATTACATCCTCCTCGCATATTATGAGTAAATTGTGAGAAATCAGATGCCTATAAAGACATCAAAATTGGAGCAAAAATATGATAATGAATTAGGAATAATTGGCCAGATGTCTCAGGAACTAATTCACGAGTTTTGCAATGCCTCCTGACCACTGAAATTAGCCTCTCTTTCCCCCAGGTTGCTGGGGTCCAAGCATCCTCACTGTCGTGGATAATAACAATTTTTTGCTTTCACTATGGGGTCAGGAGGCTGACTCTTGGAAAAGGAAACATTTGTGACCCAGAAATGTTTAGTGTGACAATTATGTAAGTGAGTTGCTTTATTTTCATTAATGAGCCCACATCTGAGTCTCCTCTCAGAACTCCGAGTTAATGATATTCCTGTCCCTTTGTGGCAACCTGGAAAGGTTTCAAGCAGTGACTGGTCTGAAAAGCAGAAATCAGACATTATTGGGCTTTGGGACTCTAATGAGAGGCTGAAGCCTATGAATCAGTTGATGGTGCTGTTTGGGTCAATTAGCTTTGAGGGCTAAGTTTGAACAATGGCCTTCTCTGGTTGGCAGCCTTGCCTGATGCACTTGAGGGCCCAAACATCTGGACTAAGCCTTCTCCTGGCCTGAGGTGGGGCTAGTGAATTCATTTGGGAGGCGGGGGTTGGGGGTGGTTCCCTCCCTCTATGTCACCATTTAGCAACATATCCGGTGTTTGGAACTTTGATTCATTGAGGACATCTCTGCCCATAAATTGTTGGTTTCACTGAAGTCTGGGTCTCTCTCTCTACGCTCCAAATATCCAGCCACCCACTTGCTCCCGTTTGTGCTCTCGGATCATCCAGTCTCCATCCCTTTTTCCTGCTCTCCTTCCTCCAGGAGAGATAGCCCCCTGCTCCCCAAACTCCCCATCCCCAAAATACCTCTAGAGAGTTCCTGGGTCTCGGCCCGGAAGCTGCGCTGGTAGGTGGGGATGGAGCAGGCATTGCCTTGGACGGGGCACTCCTGCTTGCTGCATCGGTAGAGGATACAGAGCTCAGGGATGATGTAGAGAAGCAGGAAAACCCAGGCGTTGGTGACGAGACCAATGCAGATGACGGGGTCGTCCCACTGCGGCTGTCGCTGGAGCTGTGGGTTGCCACGCATGAGCATGGAGATCCACACGGCCCAGATGATGATGGACACCAGCACGGTGATGAAGATGAGCCTGCCATGGCGCTTCCAGTTCTCGCAGGGGCCACAGAAGCTGGCCTTGGAGATGAAGAACGTGAGGGCCATCAGGAAGAGCACATAGACCAAGAGGACCACGAAGTCCACGTTGAGCTGGTAGGGACTCAGGTGCATGAACATGTTGCATCGTGTCATCATGAGTGTCACATACTCGATGGCGATGATGGTCTGCAGCAGGCTGGCGCCGATGGCAATGCACAGAATCGTGGTCCAGCAGAAGGAGACGCGGCCGCGGACCAGCTTCACGAGGTTGGACGCGTGGGCCAAGAGGCACGAGAAACACAGAGCAAAGAGCACCCCAAAGAGAAAGAAGCGGACGGGGGCAGTTTGCTGGTTGAACTGGACAATGAAGGCGAAAGCCAGGCAGAAGAGCCCCAGCACGCCCAGGAGGAAGAGGAACTGGGTGGGGAGGACGTTCCACTGGCTGCAGTCTTGGACCCTTCGCATGAGGAAGAGATAGGCCAAGAGCAGCAAGATGGTGACCACGATGCCAATGGCGGCCAGGGCCTCGAGGACGATGGCCCAGGGCCCCTCGTTGTCACAAACAAAATAATAGTCCCCAGGGGACTTGATGCAGTCGTCTTCGTACATGGCGGCTTGGAGGTGGCCCTCACAAGGATGGTCTTCTGTTCCCCTGTAGGAAGAAGATGAGGCACCTGAGACTTGGCCCACAAAACACCTGTTGGGGAGCCCAGCGTGAGGCACCCCCAATTCCTCTCCTTCCTAGGTACAGATGACCACCCTTTGAATTGCATGGCATGGGGAAAGCAGAATGATCCCCCCTGCCCTCCCCGCCCCCAGCCAGGCTTCAGCTCAATCGTACCCGCCTCCCGTAGTCTAATCCACTTATTTTCCATGAAAGTGGTGTATGATTCAGGTAATCTCCGGCTCTAAACAGGGTCCTCAGTGCTATGATTTTCAAGACTCTGAGGTTCCGCTTGAAGATTTCCCCCGGTAGTTTAGTGGCTGCTCCTTCCTTTAGCTCAAGCGAATGTAATGAAACTTGTTATTCTTAAGTACCTACTACCTATTCATTAAAGATTTATGCGACGAAATGATCTTTCTTTTAGCTCAAGTTAATATAATGCAGCCTGTTATTAAATATCTACTATCTCTTCATCAAAGACTTATACAAAATGGTCCCTGGCTTCAGATAACTTTTTGGAACCAAAATCTATGTCTTGACATAAATTGCTAGGGGAAGGAAAAAAAAAACCCAAAAAGAACTCCACCTACTCCTTTGGCAAGAAGCCCTAGCAAGTGCATTGGCAAGCTCTCAGTTATTCCCGAGCCAGGTCCCAGCTCAGCGCCCAACCCTCCATTCCCACTTACCTGCTCTGTGTCCACTCTGGCAGCTGGAACTGCAGTGGCTGTGAGTTGTAACAGCCAGTGAGTAAGAAGGAGACAAACTCAGCTTCTTTAATGTCTCCCCAAATGGGCGGAAGATCTGGGAGCCCTCACTGGGCTCTGTGGCACCAATAAAAAGAACCGGAAGGTCAGAGGGACACACCTATTGCAGGCCTTCTGCAAGGCTGCGGGTGAGCTCAGTGCCCAGAGGCACCCTGGCCTTGAGGGGGCAGGGGTGGCACTCTGGGAGCTGCTTCCTTCCCCTGTGCCTGGGGGAGCATTTCTTTCTTCTTTTGACCTTCTTCCTGAACAGCAGCCTCCAGGGTCCCCTGACCCGCCCCCCTCCCCAACTCGATGCCCTAAAGAGCTCATCAGAAGGAAGAGTTTCCCAGGGCAGTGAGGAGGAGCTGCTCGTTAAAGGGCCAGGCCCCAAGAGAAGTGCAAACTGGAGGCATCTGTCACCTTGGGGTGGGGTGGGGTGGGGTGGGTTGGAGGCTGCTCTCTTTTCTCTCTGGGAATCCCCACCTCTGAATCCCACCTCTGATAAATTCCCAACTACTCTGGCCCTCCTTGTCCCCCATCAGAACCAACATGCTCTGAGTGTCATTCTGTGGGAGCATCACAGAACCGCAATGAGAAGAATGCACCATGAAGAGCCCCTGCTGACATAACCTTCCCTTCTCCTGCAGGGCACCTTGTACAACGACCATCTACACTGATGATGTCCCCACCCTCCACCCTCCACCCTCCACCCCCACCCCCCACACACACCTTTTGCTCCCCAGGTAATTCACTGGTTCTTTTCCTGAATGTCTGCATTTGATGGGACTCTGAATTCCCCCCAACCACACCCATTAGCCTAGTTCTGAGTCTCTGATCTGGTCCTGCTGTGCTGTTTGTGGGGTTTTACTCCAGGCACCCTGCCCTGAGCTCCAGAGGGTGTGCCTTATCCCCCTCCACCCCCTGCCTCACACAGAAACAGGTGTCCCCCTCCCTCCATGGCCCCTGCTTGCTTGCTTACTGCTCCTCTGTGCTGCCCTCCCCATTGCTCCTGTCTCCTACCCGAATCCTTCCCCTCCATCTCTGGGAGCCTCCCTGCTTTCCCAGGTGCCCCTGGCACCACCCCCTGCCCTGTAATCACCACCCAGCGTGAACACTACAGCATGGAGCAAGGACAGGGTGCAGGGGAGAAGTCGGGAAAATCTGACTTCCTGTCCATCTGAAATTCAATTCATTCATAAACAGAACACACGGTGTCTGCACAACAGGGTCATGAGAAATGATTCCCTTTTCCCTAGTCTCACCACCCTGGCTGACCTCAGAGCTCCTTGGTGGTCAGGTTCCACATTTTATGCCCCACAAACCCTGGCCCTGAGTGAACATGATCCCAGATGATGGACGGGCTGATGAGTTGAATAATTCTCCTGACAGGATGACAGGTCTTAGTACTGTGGCTCCCCACAGATGCTGGTTAGTTATTTATCTGGGGACCTTCCTTGCAGTGCTTGAGGACCTTGTGGGGCTGAGGATTGAGCCCGGGTTCCCTCTGACAAAGCCTGCACTCAGCCTTCTGAGACATCTCCCTGGAACCCAGGTTTGTTTGTTTGTTTTTTTTTTAAATAAATAAACCTACAAATCAGTCAAACTCTTACCAAACCCTGACCCAGTCCTGAAGAGCATTCTCTTTCAAGCAGCCTTCACTTTTATTTTTTATGTTTTAAATTTATTTATTTTTTATTGAATCACTATGAGATACAGTTACAAAGCTTTCATGTCTGAGATTCAGCCATACAATGATCGAACTCCCATCTTTCCACCAGTGCAGATTTTCGCATCACCAATGTCCCCATTATCTCCCCACCCTCACCCCGCCTCATCCCAGTCCTCTATGCCTCTATGGTAGACAATTTTCCCAATAATCTCTCTCTACTTTCGGGCATTATATTTTGCTTGAATTTTCCCACCACCATTCAAGCCTGCCTACCAGGGGCAGATGCTAGATCATTTATTTTCCATAGCACAGCAGTAGGCCGACAGCGGCATGGCCGACCTGACCAACCCAGGTTCAATTCCTCTGCCCCTCTCGGAGAGCCCGGCAAGCTACAGAGAGTATCTCGCCTGCACGGCAAAGCCTGGCAAGCTCCCCATGATGTATTCAATATGCCAAAAACAGTAACAACAAGTCTCACAATGGAGACATTACTGGGCCCGCTGGAGCAAATCAATAAACCATGGGAGGACAGTGACAGTGACAGTGCGCATTCTGCCTATCATGAGAGTTCTTGCCGCCACTTTGTGTGTTTCTGGAATTCTAGGATTGTAAATGGTTGGGTTCCAGAGACATCTCTGTAGGGAGCTAATCCATCTTGGGATTCACTTGGGAGTTTCTGGGCCCGAGCTGTTGATGTGCTAAGATCAGCCTTCACTTTTTAAAAAGTCGCCTTGCTCTCCTTTGAGAAAAAAAAAAAAACTATTCCGGGGAGTAGGGCCTGGCAGGAGCGTGGCGGGGCCCGAGCTGGCAGGGCTCACCTCCAGTTCACACTGGCACAGCGGGGTTCTGGACTCAGGCCCCTGCCCAGGAAGTCACTCCAATGACTTCCTGCAGTGAAGGCGCTCCCAGCAGACCCGAGTGAGGGTCTCCCACTCCCTTCTGGCTCTTTTCTTTCTCTTGCAGGAGAGATCCTGGTGACCTCTTCCCCCCTGCACCTCCCACTGGTTAGTCACGGACACGCCTTCCCATGAGGAAGGCTCTGACCTGCTTTGTCTTCTAAGGCAGATTCCTCCTGACCCCAGGCGGCTGAATTAATAGGTTAATGGCCACAAAGCCCTTTGAGCACCTTAGATAAAAGGGCTCGTCTCAGGTGCTAATTATTGTTATTTGAAACTGGGCTTGGAGCATGAACCCATCTGCTGCTGGGTCTGGAGCGGCCCAGGGCTCCCCTTGGTCGGATTATTTACATCTCGTTTCTTCCCCCTTTCATGTGGCACCACCAGCATACCCAATGGCTCAGCTCAAGCTGGGATGAATCAAAGTATATCGATTGTAATGAGGACATTAAAAAAACGAGATAAAACAGCCGAGAGGCCCAACGCGTTCTGCTCACACACTCTCCCCGGAGGGTTGCCTTCTCCAGGAAACAGCGCTGGAGGGGAGGGGAAGGGTCACCAGGCCAACCCTTTCATGCCTAATGAATAGGGAGTCAAGTGTGCAGGGGGCCCAGAGTGGGGAAGGGGTGTGGCAGGGAGAGCGGGCCCACAGCAGGGGTGGTCTGGCTCCCTGGGCCTCCCCGATGCCTGGTGCCCTTCCCGACTCTTCCCTCTCACTGGGACGTGCCACGGAGAGACGAATCCTCAGAGTGGGCGAGGGCCAAGAGCAGATGATGGGGCCACTCACCTCAGTTCCCCCACAAGAATAGGCTGCATGGGGTGGGCGAGGTTGGCAGCTCCCTGGGGTGGCTGTCTGGGGTGTGGGCAGGCGGGAAGAGCCCCAGCTCGCCAAGGAGCGCTGTGAGGTCGCCTCCCTCTGTGACCAGCTTCAGAGTTTTATCTTGGAATGTGTGTTTTGGAAGTGAGTTCCGGGGAAACGGGGGGGGGGGGGGGCTGGCTAATGGGGATCCAACCCCAAGGGGCTCCCAGAGCCACTCCTGGGTCCCCTGGTGTCCCCTTTTCTGCATCTGCCAAGATAGGTTTGTGCTGTGCCCGGGGTCCCTGCCCATCTCTATTTTTTAAAATTTTTATTAGTGAAACACCATGAGGTACAGTTGTAGACTTACAAATTTTTGTGCTTGGGTTTCAGTTATACAGTGATCCAGTACCCATCCTCCACCAGTGCCCATTCTCCATCATTTACATTTAAAAAAAAAAAATTTTGTCAATGAGGGGCTGGAGTGATAGCACAGCGGGTAGGGCGTTTGCCTTGCAAGAAGCTGACCCAGGTTCGATTCCCAGCATCCCATATGGTCCCCCGAGCACCGCTAGGGGTAATTCCTGAGTGCAGAGCCAGGAGTATCCCCTGTCCATCGCCGGGCGTGACCCCAAAAAGCAAAAAAAAAAAAAGTAAAAAAATTTTTGTTAGTGAAACACCATGAGGTATAGTTGTAGATTTACAACTTTTTGTGCTTGGGTTTCAATTGTACAATGATCAAACACCCATCCCTCCACCAGTGCCCATTTTCCACCACCATGGGTCCCAGTATCCCTCCCACTCCCCCATCCCCCCCATCCCACCCTTTTGTTCTCTCTCT